GGTGGACAGACAGGCGGAAACCCGCATGCACAGTGTCGATACCAAGGTTGCATCGCACGAAGGCCGTCTCAGTTACCAGGAGGACCAGATCAAACACCTGCAGGCCCACTTGCACACTGTCACGACTGAGCCCCGTCCTGTCAAAGCCGAGCTGCCGAACACCTTCGACAGGCCTGCAGATACAACCATCGTTGTGGTCCACTTTCGCGAGTTGGTCAACGCCGATGCCGTATGTGCAGCTATCTTTCCATGGATACAGGATGCCAACCTGGACGTGGACGACTACGAAGTACCAGTCTCTCCCGAAGGGCCCGCTGCCAAGCGGCACATCATCCAATTCACGGGCCGACCCCAGCTCGCCGTTCGGGCTGTTCGACATGCCATGTCCGTCATTCGTTTTCGCGGTGGCACATGGCGCAAGTTCTTCGCGCTGTTCCCCACTGGCGGCCGCATTGCCCTCTTCATTTCTGTTGACAAAAGCTAATGCGCCATCCGTCGCGAGCTGGGGGTCAAAGATCAGCAGGCGTCAGTTCGAGACGGCCTGCCCCCACGAGAGCTTCCACGTTGATAAAGACCGTGGCAAAATCTCTTTTGTTTCTCTCTATCTCTCTCTTGGAAACAGATGTTACGCGTCTCGCCCGCTCCCGCGGGTACACGACCGACAGTCAGTCGACTGGGACATCCCGAACATGCTCGCCCTTGGCCTGGACAAGCGCACCCTGGAGGACAAGGTCGCAGCTGCCCTCGTTCCACCGGTGGAGAGCGAATGCCAGCGGTCTCTTTAACGGATTCTTGAGGCTGTGGCTGGAACCTGGCCCCACCTCTGCCTCGTTGCGATTTGCCAGTTGGAACGCGCGCTCTCTCTCTTCCACCGCGACCCCATCCACGAAGTCCAAGGAGTGCGCCGACGTCTGCTCGCTCATGTTTCCCCCCCCCCAGAGTTGCGATTCAAGAATCTCGCGGCGCTGGGAAAGAGACCAGAGACATGATCCACTTTCTCTGCAAGCCGTACTTCTGCATCGCTAGCTTTGCGTCGAGCGCTTCGGGCGGTGTCATCTCCTTGATTCCTGCACCGGCGTAAGTACGAGCTCAAGGTGGAAGTGGATTATCTGGATCTCGCGAAGGGGAGGGGAATATTTTCTTATATTCAGGTTGATGATGGGACGTCTTGGATTGCTCACTTTAACGCTCGCAATTGTGGGCTTCATCGGGAAGACAAACTCCGCATATCTCAACATGTCTTGGGCAAGGTTCAAGAGGCCCCTCTTGACCCCCCCATCAAGTTGGCGATGCTCATTGGGGGTCTCAATATCGTTGCCCCACGGCCGTCGCCCGTGAAACCTGCCCTCTATGTCGCCTTTGGGGCTGGGCATCAGAATTGGAGGGCAACTCGAGATGCCGTTTGGAGGGATCTCTGGGGGCGCCCCGTCGAGATTCAGATGCCAAGCTCCGCCTGCATCTACGCGCCGGATGACGCGATGAGCACGAGTGATACGGTCTTCATTTCCCTGCCTGGATGGGCGACTCGGCAAGTCAATATATGCGGGGTCGCTCAGGGTCTCGTCGAAGTTGCGGAGCGTCGAAAACTCTCGGGCCACGCCGCCGTCGCGGTTGACTCTCGCCCCGCCCCGCCCAAGCATCGGAAATCACGTCTTATTAATTGCGACCTGTGCGACGCCCCCGAGTATCTTAGGTTTGCGCAGGCCTGCCTCGCAGGCGTCGGCCTCGAGGGTCTCTCGCCGCCTGTCCGCCTTGCTTGGTTGGAGATGTCGATGGAAGGGGGGCGCGATATGTTCGAAATGCATATCCGGGAGGCCCGACCGATGCGATCCTTGGGGCGAGCATCCTGCGGCGTTCGATTGCTCGAGCCGTCTGGGAACAAGATTGGAGGTTGGGCCGTAAGCTGGTGCACCCCTATCCTCCTGCACAGCAGGGCCCCCCCTGGGGCTCGGAGATGACGACGCTCTCCCCGGTGGGCCCTGGGGCTTTTTATCCGACCCAGCCAACTCCCTGGAGGAAAGCGGCCGCTTTGAAAAGCTGAGGCGTCCGTGGAAAAAAACTCATCATCCAAACCTGGGGGGCCCGAACGCAAACGCCTTCGTCGACGTCTCCGCGGGGTCCAGAAAAGGGCGACGGCCCGGGCACTCTTCGAACGCAGACTGCATGCGCGACGTTTCCGCAGAGGTGGCCAAGAAGTGTCCGACCCCCTGGACATGGCCAGCGCGATCGGTCAGCATTGGGGCGCAGCTCTTGCCGAGAAGCCGACGCCAGAGTCGCATGGCTCGGGCGTGCACGCGGAGATTTACATCGCATTTAGACCTCAGCGATGCGCCGCCACCCTCGCACGATTTCTCTGCTTTGTCTTGTGTGGGCAAAGCCGCAGTGCACCTGGCCCTGATTGCGCCCCCTGAGCGGCGTGGCAACGAAGGTGGATGGGCATTCCAGGGCTTCAGCCATCTCTCGGGCGCCCCCACCCCGAGGGGAGAGGAGGAAGAAGATCGAGACGGAGGAGCATGCGCTCGATAATGCGACAAACTTCGACCCCTGAATGAAATGCACCGACAACAAGGCGATCACCGCCACGGTCGTTCCCCCTATTTCCAGGGCCCGGGCTTCCGCGGCCACTCGGCTCCAAAGGGGCCGCATCCAAGGGCGACAGTTCGGGGCCAACATCATCGGACTGGATGCGATGGTTAGGTGCTACTCAACGATTCTACCATCTGCAGGTCCGGACCTGCCTCCTATTCGCCGCGTTCGATTCTGCCCGGGCGCCCCCGTCTGTCTCGCATCGCCGGATGCACGTCGCACTTTCCGAGCTGGCCCCCCCGATCCCGCTGCTTGACTGCATCCGATTTCCTTTCCATGGGGATTCTTGTTTCTCGGAGTTTGGAGGCGACGTGGCGTTCATGTTTCCGATCCTGGCGGGGATCATCCAGGGGCGCCCTGCTTCTGGAACGTCCTTTAAGATTTGCATGGGGCCCTTTGGAACGATTTCGAGTCCACGACCGAAGCCAAGCGTCGAGGCATGGTCCGTCTGCGCGCCGACGACGTTGGCACCGTCATTATCCAGCTGTGGTACATGCAACAGCTTTCGCGCATCTTCGAGCTCGCTGCCAAGCTTGCTGCTCTGCTGCTCAATGTAAAGAAGTGTCAAATCTTCCCCTGGCGAGCCCGCGTTCGGAGGCATTCAAAAAACTTTGCCAGATGAGGTTGCAAGCGATTGCCCCCTCCTGGGCTGACTTCCAAATCGTCGGTGCCCTGAAATTCTTGGGCATGCATCTTGGCCCCGAAGAAGAGCAGCACTGCTGGACAGGCCCTCTACGCAAGTGGCGCCATGGATCTTTTGAGCTGGCAGATGTTTGCTCCTCGAATTCGATTGCCGTTCGGTCGCTGCCAATCCGTGCGTATCTCGAGTTGCCCTTGTCCTGTCCTACGTTGCGCAAATGCTGATGGCGCCGAGATATGTGCCGCGTTTCGAGTCCGCGATGCTCTCGCGGGTCACCCACATGCCTTACTGAGGGTTGAGTCAGGGCTCGCAGTGCGAATGGAAGGACTGGGGAGGACCTCGAATCTCATCTCTGCCAGCCACTTGTCTTGCCGCCCGCTCCAGAGCCGCCATCAGCTCGATTGCATGGAGAGGGCCGCGCAATATGTTGCACACTGCTGCAGTACGGCACCGTCCGTCTGCGTCGGTACTTCGCGGAGACCTCTCACCAGATTTCTGGAAGACTCGAGCCCTGTGCCGGGACATGTCTGATGTGTACGAGGGCGCGCATCTCCCAGCGCAGCCTCGTGAGCTCTGTCGCCCTGCTCTCCACGAGGCCCCTGCGGCACACCAACAACGCGCCGTGAGCCCCCTGAGAGCCCCGCGGCCGCAAATTCAGCGCCTCCGGGTTCACAGTATCGCGGAGGCTTTGTAGCCCGCTTTCCTTGGGGACCTGGGTTCCGTTCCTCTCTGTGAGCTGCTCCCGTCTGAATGGGCCCGCATCCTTACCGTGGATTGGCTTGCCGTCCGTGCTGCCCTTGCCTCCCTCCCCGTCGCGCTCTCGTCTGCCGCGGCTAGGACTCTCTCTCTCACTCTTTCTCTATCTCTCTCTTTTTTTATTTTCTCTCTCTTTCTCTCTCTCTCTCTCTCTCTCTCTCTCTCTCTCTCTCTCTCTCTCCGAAAAACCTGGCTTACGCAGCGTAGGTTTCAGCAGACGGACGATTCTCTCTGCATCTGTGGATGTCTGCCTGAGGGCAGTTGTGAAGATCCGTTTGCTCCTTTTTTGGTGCCGCCCGTTGTTTTTTTCTTGCTTTTTGGAGTCCTCAGCGGGCCCTCTGGATCCTCGACCCCCCGAGCGTTTCGGAATTTTGTCTCCCACGGAACCTTCTCTGAAGCGTCTTGCCTGTGCGTCTTTCCTGAATGACGAGTTTAAAACGACATCGCGTAGACTCAGTCGACCTTGAAGTCTGCAGGAGTCCCAACGTGTGCTCCCTCTCGCAAGGGCACAGCTCAGGCGATGAGGGACGAACTCGCCGCGCAGCCCACGCCGCAGGAGGAGGAAGAGGAGGAGGAGGAGGAGGAGGACGGGGAGGAGGAGGAGGAGGAGGAAAAGGAGGAAGAGGGAGGAGGAGGAGGAGGATGAGGAGGAGGAGGAGGAGGACGATATCCGACGTTCCACAAAAGTTGCGACATCGCAGGATCTCGTGAGCGTTTTTCTGTTCCTCTCCACGGGGCCAGTCGTGCAGATGTTTGCTGCTGGCCTCCCTTTTCCGCTGCGCTCGAATCGCCCCGTCGCTTCTCGCAGGTCGCCTTTTCGGCTAGCGGGTGGGCCCCTTCGCGCTGGTAGAGTTCAGTCGGGCGTTTCCCTCGTACTTCGGGGCCAAACATAGTTGGGGCACGATTTCTTCAATATGTTACATTTTTGTCGGAGCATTGCAGAATTCTTTGCAGCTGCTTCACCCAAAAACCTGCCCGCAGGAGGCGTCTGGAAGTGGTGCCCCACTGCCCCTCCCAGGTGGAAGGCCTGGCCGCCGCCGCCCCTGGGCTGGCCCGGCAGCTCCGCGGCGCCGCCCGCGCATGCTTCTGGATGTTGTGGCCCGCGGACTGGGAGACCGACTGGGCCTCACCAGGCCTCCCGCCCCGCACGACGCCGTCCCAGACGCCCTACGACTATTATTATTATTATTATTATTATTATTATTACTACCATTATTACTACGATTACTACTACTACTACTACTACTACTACTACTACTACTACTACTACTACTACTACTACTACTACTACTACTACTACTACTACTACTCCTGCTGCTGCTGCTGCTGCTGCTACTACTACTACTACTACTACTGCTGCTGCTACTACTACTACTACTACTACTACCACCTCCTCTGTTCATTATACTACGACAGGTTCTATGATTGTTACTACCGCAACCGTTGTTCAGTGGTCTTTGCGCAGACAGAATTTGTATCCAATTCACTTTTGTGGAGAATGTTTGCTCCCAGAATGAATTTGGTTATATGAAGGTGTCACCTGGTTCTCTCAATTGTGTTGAACCACTCTCTGTTTATTCCCTATCGTGCGCCTACATTCTATTGGTTTGGATGTGGGCCAGTTTGCTTTTCGCGCTGGCTGGGATTGGGACCAGTCCGTTGGGAGTGGGACCAGTTGTTTGGGATTGGGCCCGCATGCGGGGGACCCCCCCCTGTCATCCCTGTCCACAGGGGGCCCAGGAGCGGAGGGGGGGCGCCAGGACCCCGAGGGAGGGGTGGCAATCTGATCCGGGACCCCCCCTTTGCGTACTCCCCCCAACACCCCCTTATTAGTAAACATCCCTTCCCTCAAGCGACCGGCTCCCAACCAGGACCAACGAGACCCCCCCCGCCATCTCAGTCAAAAAATCAATGTGACGTCCACTTTGCGACACATCCTCGGGTCCATTTTGTAAGGGGTCGCAGAGGTGCCCGCATATTGCCTGCTGCGCGTAGGGCCAGCGCCCCTGTGGAAAAGAAGGCGCAATCCACTTCATGGCAACATCTGGATCATGCGCGGGCACTTCGCGATCACTGTGCATTGCATGGGTTTTGGACTGGGACGGCGGGGTTGCTGGCATATTGATTGCTGTATGCAGGCTCACCAGACACTATAGGATGGCCACCCGCCGCGTTTGCGCATTGGCGGAGCGTCTATGTTTGCCTGTAGGCCACCAGACACTATAGGCCATCCAAAGATCGTTCTAAGGCACTTTCGGCCAGAAACGTTTTTAGAACATTTCAGGCTGAGGCTGTATTGTTTTAGTGCGCCAGCTTCTTGTTCAAAGAGTATTGTTTTCTGTATTAGAGCATTCTTTCGTTTGAGCAGAATTTTGTGGTTGGTCTATAGGAATGCCAGGTCAGTCGGCCCCTTCTGAACAAGGGTTGTGGGAGCCGACGCGATTCCCGATGTGTACTGCCACGTGCGCGGGCGCACCTGACACCCTCTGCGCGTGCCCCGAACGTGGCGCACATGACGCACGAGGATCACGCGGCGCATGTGGCGCACCAGGCATGCCTGGCACGCTTGGGCCAAGGGGGCGCCTGGCGCACCTGGCGCGCATGCCGAACGCAGGGCGCGTGGCGCACCTCGTTCCAGCGTTGCGCACATGGGATCCATGTTGGTTTCCATGTGGTGCCCATCCAGAGACAACCCCTTTACACGCTGCGGCTCGGGTGCTACTTCTGCGTCGGGAGGGCGGGTGGGAGTGAGCGAGACGACTTGTGGGCGGGGAAGTTTCTGGACCCACGCCGTCCCCGCCCTCGGATCCCTCCCCGTCAGGGAGGGGAAAAGAGGAGGGAATCGACTTAAATACAACGTTGCTTGTCTTTGTTTGTCTTTCGAGTTCCTTGGGGTTGGCGACGACGACAACGAAGAAGACGACGACAGCGTCTTACACACGCCGAAGAGTCGGCGGATTCTGAGGATGCGTTTTTGACAGCGATGGAGCTTAGAAGCAAGGCAATGAACGAATGGTGCGGTGATCCAAGGGAGCACGGGCATGGATGTCAGGATCGTATATTGGCTACGTGGAGCGCCGGATGCTGTTCAAGGCAATGCGCACATGTGAGGCGGCAGCTAGCCCCAAATGCGCCATGCATGCAGCGAGCTTATTGCCACCATCTTTGGCCTATGCTGGATGAGCTGGGGCGGAGCGATTGGGAAACAGTTTAGAAGGGAGGAACATGCATGTGGGGAGAAGGGCAATTGGGTTTTGATGTCTAAGGACGGGAGTGTACGCGCGAGTGAGCGGACAAACGTTGTGAATCGTGATTGTAGAAGTATCCACCCCGCTGCCGCACTGCAGAAGGCATGATTGTTCCCAGGGGGCACTCGGGGTTGCTGTTTGTTCACACAGGGGAAACGCCGAAACAAGTACATGTGCATGCACATGGTTCTGGAGCGATATGGGATCCGATGGGAAGGCAGTGGAAATAGCTTTCGAGCGAATGCGCGTTTGCCGTTCGCGAGCCGTTCGGGCTCATGCGAATCATAGCAAGCACATGCATGCGGTTTGAGAATGCCTCGAGCGAATGGGTTCGAGCTTTGAGCCACCGAGCAATGGCACAGCAGATACCCTAGCAATGGCAAGACCTCCAGTGCGGGACACGGAGAAGCTTGTGAGTGATCCGAACGCCATGGGTGTTTTCCTTTGGCGCGCGTGCGCCGAGGAAGATGCCGAATCGGAAACAAGCACCTGCAGCTCAAAGGAGGCCGAATCCATAGCGAAACACACATTGGCGAGGTGCTGGAGCCTGTGCAGGCTGACCCCGTGCGGTTGCTGACCGCTCCTGTGGACTTCGACCGCCCCCCTCCCCCCCCGTGTGCACCCCCCTCCCCCCGCTGAGGAGCAGCGGCAGCAGGGGGGCAGGAGGAGCTTGGTTCCCCCCGGACCCCCCCCCATCGCCCTCGTCCCTCCCCCCTTCCTCATCCCTCATTTCCCTTCCCCCTCCCTCCCCCGCGCCGAGACCCCGCTCGCTCCACCCGCCCGCCCTGCCCCGTCCTTCTCCAGCTCCCCACCCCGATCTTGTTGCACGTCCTTCTCCCCTCTCGCGCGCACCACCCCGCCGAACAGGTTCGTCGGCAGTTCGCTCCAGCTTCAAAAGTCGTTCCCCGAGACATGACCATTGAACTCCCATCCACCTCCGCCCTCCCGCTCCCCGCCCCGTCCCTCCCCTCGTTCCTCGCCTCCCTCCTCCCCCCTCGCCCTCCCTCGGTGTTCCCGCCCCCCGCCCCTCCTCCCCATTCTTGGCCATCACGCTTTACCCACCTCCTCCTGTCTCACCCTGGCGTTGTTTCCCAAAGTTTCCCTCCATGTCTGTCCATCGTCCCCTCTGCTCTTCCCTCCCCTTACCTCCGCGCGGACGCCCTCGTCCTTTTCCCTCTCTTGCACGTTGGCCAAGTAGCCATTCGGTTGCCCCGAATCGCCACACGCTGGAGCGGACCGCCTCTGCTTCGCCGCCGACGGAAAAAATAGCCTGGCGAAGGACCCAACCATGCAGTTGTGCATACCGCAATTGTGAATACTATTTTCGCCCGCGCTCCCCTATGTGGCCACAGCTTCCCGCCTGAGCCCCCACATGCTCAGGAACACGTTCGTGGCCGTCTTCGCGGGCGCCGACGACGACAAGGACGGCGTCCCTCTGACCGAGGAGCAGAACCAGGAGAGGGTTTTGAGAGCCATGAGGGAGGAGGTGGCGTCGCACGTCGAAAAGGCGGAGTACGACGCCCAGGCGCGGTTGTTGGAGCAGTACAACTATGGGGCCACGATCCTCGTGGGGTGTGTGCCGAAACGGCCCGAAGCCGCCATGCGACCCCTGCCGCTGGCGCTTCCGATGGAGCTCCCCATGGGGCCACGATCCTCGCGAGGGGTGGCCGAAATGGCCCGAGGCCGCCATGCGAACCCTGCCGTTGGGACCTTCGGCGGAGCTCCTTATGGGGTCACGACCCTCGTGAGGGGTGTGCCGAGCCCGAGGCCGCCGTGCGAACCCTGCCATTGAGGGCCTTCTGCGGAGCTCCCCGCGGGGCTACGATCCTCGTGAGGGGTGCGCCGAGACGGCCCGAGGCCGCCATGCGAACCCTGCCACTGGCGCCTTCGGTGAAGCTCCCTATGGGGCCACGATCCTCGCGAGGGGTGTGCCGAAATGGCCCGAGGCCGCCATGCGAACCCTGCCACTAGCGCCTCCGGCGGAGCCCCCCATGGGGCCACGATCCTCGTGAGGGGTGTGCTAACTGGCCCGAGGCCGCCATGCGAACCCTGCTGCTGGCGCCTTCGGTGGAGCTCCCTATGGGGCCCCGGTCCTCGTGAGGGGTGTGCCGAAATTGCCCGAGGCCGCCATGCGAACCCTGCCACTGGGACCTTCGGTGAAGCTCCCCATGGGGCCGCGATCCTCGTGAGGGGTGAGCCGAAATGGCCTGAGGCCGCCATGCGAACCCTGCCACAGGGGCCTTCGGAGGAGCTTCCCATGATGCCACGATCCCCGTGAGGGGTGTGCCGAAATGGCCCGAGGCCGCCATGCGAACTTTGCTATTGGCGCGTTCGGTGGAGCTATTATGGGGCCACGATCCTCGTGAGCGGTGTGCCGAAATGGCCCGAGGCAGCCGTGCGAACTTTGCCACTGGCGCCTTCGGTGAAGCGCCTATGGGGCCACGATCCTCGTGAGGGGGTGTGCCGAAATTGCCCGAGGCCGCCATGCGAACCCTGCCATTGGGACCTTCGGTGAAGCTCCCCATGGGGCCGCGATCCTCGTGAGGGGTGTGCCGAAATGGCCTGAGGCCGCCATGCGAACCCTGCCACAGGGGCCTTCGGTGGAGTTTCCCATGAGGCCACGATCCTCGTGAGGGGTGTGCCGAAATGGCCCGAGGCCGCCATGCGAACTTTGCTAGTGGCGCTTTCGGTGGAGCTATTATGGGGCCACGATCCTCTTGAGAGGTGCCAGAATGGGGTGTACCAAAATGGCGCGGTGCCGTCATCGGAGATGATGGTGACGATGGCGGTGGTGATGATGCTGGTGATGATGGTGATGATAACGATGATGATGTTGATGCTGATGATGGCGATGATGCGAGGAGGAGGGAGGGGGCAGCGGGAGGAGGACGGAGCGCGGGGCGTTGTTTCTTCAAAACGAGGACCTAACACCACAGGATGGTTGGGAAAAGCTGTCCACCGTCCATTGCCCTCTTCTTGCTGCTTGTGGCGCGGGCCCGGAAAATGTGGCGCCCGCCCCCGGGCCAACGCAGGCGGCCGGTCTTCCGACGGCCTTCCCTCACCCAGCGGTCCTCTACGAGGAGATCATGGGGCGACGCCTGACGGCCAGCCGCCGCGGCCAGAGGCTGGGGGAGCTGGGGAAGGGGAGCACACGGGCGGGTGGGGGCGAGGGGGAGGGCACACGGGGAGGACACGGTGACGGCGGGTGAGCACACGGGGAGCACACGGAAAACACACGGGAAGGGGAGCACACGGGCGGGTGGAGGCGAGAGGGGGCTGGGAGCTCCAGACTGGATGGGGGTGGGGCGCTTTCGGCCCTCAAAGGGCTTACAAAGGAACCGCACTCGTTGCTCCATGCCTTTCCTCGCCACTCCTCTTCCTCCTTTTCTTCCCCTTCTGGGGGGAGGAGGGCGGGAAGGAGGGAGGAGGACCAGAAGCAGGAGCAGGAGCAGCGCGAGGACCTCAGGAGGAGCAGAAGCAGAAGGGGGGCGAAGAGGGTTGACTCTGTCCACGGAGGAGGGGGGCAAGACGAGGACGGGGAGGGGGAGCGGGAGGGGTCCTCCCGCTACTCTATCCGCGCCCCCGCGCTGCCCGCCATGGTGTGGTGCGCGTGTGTGTGTGTGTGTGTGTGTGTGTGTGTTGTGTGTGTTGTGTGTGTTGTGTGTGTGTGTTGTGTGTGTGTTGTGCGTGTGTGCGCGTGCGTGTGTGCGTGTGTGCGTGTGTGCGTGGTGTGTGTTATTGTTGTTATTGTTGTTGTTGGTGTTGTTGTTGTTGTTGTTGTTGTTGTTGTTGTTGTTGTCGTTGTTGTTGTTATTGTTGTTGTTGGTGTTGTTGTTGGTGCTGTTGTTGGTGTTGAACTCTCATTCTTGAAGAACAATCATTATTGATCCCCCCCCACTGGTGCACATTGATTTGTTTCAATTGAAGTGCCCCCCCGGGGCTCGCACCTTGTTTTTTGTTAAGGAAAGTCTTCCTGCTCAAACTGGCCCCTTGGCCCCCGGGTTACAACAACAACAACAACAACAACAACAACAACAACAACGGCTCCCGCCTGAGACTTCCGCACAGTTTAGCCAGGACCCCCGCTCCCGCCCGAGACTTCCTCGCATTTTATTGAAGAATCGCGCTCTCGCTGGGGACTTTCTTGCGATTTATTCAGGAATCGCTCGTCCTGCGTTCTGGAGTCGCGCTCTCGCTGGAGACGTGCTTACAATTTACTGAAGAATAGCGCCCTTGCGTTGGAATTTCTTGCAATTTACCCCAGCGCCGCGCTCCCGACACCCAGGCACCCAGGAGTCACGCTCACGCTTAGGACTCCTTCACCGATTACCTAGGAATCGGAATCTCGCTGCCCGTCGTGGCCCCGTTGCAGCCCTTCGTGGCCCCCTCGCTTTGTTTCGTGGCCCCGTTGCAGCCCTTCGTGGCCCCCTCGCTTTGTTTCGTGGTCCCGTTGCAGCCCCTCGTGGCCTCCTCGTTGCCCTTCGTGGCCCCGTTGCAGCCCTTCGTGACCCCTCGCTTTGTTTCGTGGCCCCGTTGCAGCCCTTCGTGGCCCCCTCGCTGCCCTTCGTGGCCCCGTTGCAGCCCTTCGTGGCCCCGTTGCAGCCCTTCGTGGCCCCCTCGCTTTGTTTCGTGGCCCCATATATGTATGCCCTTCGTGGCCCCCGCTCGTTCGCGCCCGTGGTGGCCCCATATGCATGCCCTTCGTGGCCCCGCTGTCGCCCTTCGTGGCCCCCTCGCTGCCCTTCGTGTCCCCGTTGCTGCCCTCAGTGGCCCCGTCCGTACCCTCCGCGGCCCAACATACGTATGCCCTTCGTGGCCCCCGCTCGTTCGCGCCCGTTGTGGCCCCATGTGCATGCCCTTCGTGGCCCCGCTGTCGCCGTTTGTGGCCCCCTCATTGTCCTACGTGGCCCAGGTGCTACCCTCAGTGGCCCCATCGTTGCCTTCTGTGGCCCCGCATTATCTGCCCTTCGTGGCCCACGCTCGTTCGCGCTCTTCGTGGCCCCATACGCATTCCCTTCGTGTCCCCGCTGTCGCCCTTCGTGGCCTACTTTGTGTCCTTCGTGGCTCTGCTGTCGTTCTCTCTTGCTCTCGCTTTCGATCGTCGTCGTCGTCGCCGTCGCCGTCGTTGCCTTCGTCGTCGACGTCGTCGTCGTCGTCGTCGTCGTCGTCGTGGTCGGTCCCCTGTCCGTCCCTCTTGGGGTCGGGTCGACGGTCCGCGGCCGCCCCGCCGATCAGCGCTGCCGCTGGCCAGGCCGACGGTCCGCGGCCGCCCCGCCGCTTGCCGGGGCCCGGCCTGCAGGGAAGAAAGGTAAACCCCCCATTCGATCGAAGACGAAAAGGGCGGGTATCGAGGGTTTGGGAAATTCGCGTTATTCGGCATTCGAGCAGATAAGGGCGAACAGTCTTAAAATGATTGGTGTTGTTGTTGTTGTTGAACATTATTTATTCTAAAGAATAATTATTGTTGGGCCCCCTGGTGCGCGCCCCCCCTGCGCCGCCTAGGCCGCAGCTACATTTTCATCATTTTCGTGAGGAAGCCTCAGAAAAGAGGGTGTGTACAGGATCCGGTTGTTTTGTTGTAATCCGCTTTCCCTTGCAAAAAACAATAGAAAATGACATTTCTTGTTCTAATATAATCAAATTTCAAGAATCCCTTGCAAAAAATAAGGTAAAGTGGACATTCGCGCGCGCAAGACGAAATCCTTCCAAAACCTTAGTGTTCGCAGCGATTTTAACATAAAAACATCAAAAAACCAATGGTTTTTCAACAAAAAATTGTCAAAATCTCATCCCGCGCGCTCTTGCGGATTCGTAGGAAACCCAACACTTTTTAAACATTTCTGTCAAACGGGCTTTTGCGAGCAACTTTTTCGAACTTCTGCGACAACGGTTGCGCACCTGCCAGGGCCATCATCCCTGTCAAATAATACCATGCGGGACACATTCGTTTTTTCTTCGCGCGCGCACGCCGTCGTCGTCGGCCGCGGGGCCCTGAATAGTAGCCACGGTCGTCCGCATGCCACGAAGTGAAGTGTCCGAACGTCATAGGGCGGGAAGCTGGGTGTGGGTGGTGGCGAAGAGTCGTTTGGAAATTTGGTAGAGCTTGAACCGGCCCCCCCACAAAGTGGGGGTATTGCCCGCCTCCTATGAAAACCCTGGCACTGGTGAGAACGGTGTGTCCCCACGTGCTAGTAATTGTTGTTGTTGTTGTTGAAGTTGTTGTTGTTGTTGTTGGTGGTGGTGTTGTTGTTGTTGTTGTTGGTGTTGTTGTTGTTGTTGTTGTTGTTGTTGTTGTTGTGTGCGTTTCTGTGTGAAGCATTCGCCCTCTGCCCAGCCGCCTACGCAAATGTGTGTATGTGTGTGTCTGTGTTTCAGAGGAGGGGAGGTACCCATATCGCTACTCCTCGCCCGCCTCCCCCTTTTTCGGCCTCCTGGGAGGCCCTCGTCGCCACCGCTGGATTCGTTTCGAAATCATAGTAGGAACGCACCCCGGGAGAGGTCTGGGGAGTAGTTAGCTGATTCGGTACTTCGGTTTCCCCGTAGTTGGCACCGGTCGCCATTTGCGAGGCATATGCATCGTGACGATCACCATCCACGACCGTGAGGTCATGTCAGAAGCCGCGCATCTGCAAGACGCGTTGGCACGCGAGGCATAGCGAAAATTCGCGAGCGTAGCACACACACAGCGTGACGCATAGCATTGTGCATCCTTGTTGGTTGCGACCTCATCAGCATATACCTTCCCAGTGGAGTGGTGTAGCGGTGAAGCAAAATCGCTCACATGCAAAACGCTGTGGCGAGTCGAGCTCTCAATCCGCAGGTGCCTCATTTGAGGATGGATGTGGTGTGTGTATGCCTCGTTGCTTCCAAGTAAACTCCGTTCGTACGCGGTCATAGACGGCCCAGCTTCGTTTGGGCGATTGGTAATCAGGGCAAGCGCGCAAAGTAGGCATGCATCTTCGCAGATGCGCCAGAAGCTTCCGCGGTATATGGTGTGGAGCACTGGTTACATGCGAAGGCGCCCTGGTCTTGATCGGCATATTGTCAAATCTCGTACTGCGTCCCCAGCACAGCAGCAGGTGCGTTCATTTGTTTTCCAGTGCCTCCTCTTCGTGTCCATGTTTCCTTTCTGCTCGTGGTGGCTCTCGCAGGTGGCCTCGCGTGGGAATTACCGTGCGTGTGATGCGCTCCCCGTTGTAGTCTGGTCTGTGGTGCTGGTCTGCGGTCTGCGGTGGTAGCCGCGATCGCCGTCGCGGCACAGGCGTTGCGGCCAAGCCATGGAAGATACTTGATGGAGTGCGCGAAAGCTACCATGACTTCCAGTCCTTGTGACTATCCGAACCCAACCAGAAGACCCCGATTTGCCAACGAAGGCCCCAACCCGAAGGCCCCAACCCGATAAAGCGCCCACGAAGCCATCCCAACCCAACCCGAAGGCCCCGATTTGCCCTCCATTTCCAGTGGGGGGGGTCGGGGAACAATGGAAAGACACATATGGAGCCCTTCCCCCCCAATCCGAAATTCGGGTCTTCGGGTTGGGTTGGGGTGATGATGGGCTTCGGGGGTCGAGCGTTGCAAGAGCCAATGTGGGTAGCACCCGGTTCCCTCAGTTGCGTTGTTCCGGCCAGTGTGACCCACGCGGATCTACGTGCGTGTTCTTGTCGGGGCATGCCCCGCCCAGCGTGGGCGTTCATGTGGCCATCGATTGTCAACATGCCGACGCTAACGTATTTGGATACCAATGCGATCACCCTTTTGGTAATAAGGAGGTTCGGGGGAAGGGATGAACCAACATCTCACTAGATCGATCTGACTATCGACCTGACTATCGATCTCACTACGGATCCCACTGTCGAACTCACTACCTATCCCGCTTTCGATATCACTACCTGTCTTACTATCGAGCTCACGATCAATCTCACAATCGATCTCACTATTGATCTCACTATCCACCTCACCATCGATCTCATCATTGATCTCACCATTGATCTCACCACGGGGGGACACCGACAGGACACCGACGGGACACCGACGGAACAGGAACATTACGATCGATATCTCGATCGATCTCATCCGATGGAAAACACATGTTCTCACAATCAATCTCACTATGGACCTCACTAGGGCACTGGGGAGGGGGGAGGAGGAGAAGGAGGAGGAGGAGGAGGAGGAGAAGGAGGAGGAGGAGGAGGAGGGAGCTGAAGGGGGGGAGGAAAGGCGGACGGGCAGTGCAGCGGCAGGCTGGCCCGACGGGAGGGGAGGAGGAGGAGGAGGAGGAGGAGGAGGAGGACGAGGTAGGAGAAGGTGGCAGAAGGAGGTGGCGTGCAGAGTCAGGCCGGGCTGACGAGTAGGAGCAGCAGTCGTCTCTTCCCGAGGCGCCTTGCGCCCCCCGCCGCGGACGGGGGGGCCCTGCGGGCGTCGAAGCGGTGGATGGCCACCCTGGCCGCGGAGCGCGAGTCGCGCCTCCCTGCGGCCGTGCTCGCCAGCAGGGATGACATCGAGCGCGACGTCAGGAGTCCTCCGCCCCCTCCTCCTCCCCCCTCCCCCTCCTCCCCCTCCCCCTCCTCCTCCCCCTCCCCCCTCCTCCTCCTCTCCCCTCCTCCTCCTCCTCCTCCTCCTCCTCCTCCCCCCCTCTTCCTCCTACGTAGTCCCTTTCGTCCTCTTCCATTTACCTCTCTCCTTCTTCCCCCACTCAGGCGTCGCGGGAGGTTCCCCCCCACCCCGCCAGCCCCGTGGCGCCTCAGTTTCTCAAGGGAGGCCCATGTGGTCTCCAGTTTGCCATCTAAGAGGGGCAGCATGGCGCTGCACGACGGGTGGGAAGCTGAGGACACCCGATCCTCCCCCACATCCTGAGAGACGGCGGAGGAGGAGGCAATGGCGAAGTCAGCGGATTGCCGAACCCGAGGCCCCAGCTGTTGCAGGTGCGGGTGATGCGTCATTGTTTTACAGCTTTTGTTGTCAGGGGGGCGATATAGAACGTCTTTGGGTACCGACCAGCCGACCGGTGAGGACGGGGTGCAGCAGTGGGGAGATAGAGACAATAATGGGTGTTGTACAGTTGTCGGGCTCCCCGCGTGCCGCCCACCACAACACAACACGGCAGCCGCGTCGGCGGAGAAAGGGCAGGCCTAATCGAGGCGGCTGAGCACGAATCTACAACACGTCAGCGTTTATAACAACGGGCAGACGGGGCCAGCGGGACAAGGTGCCCATTCCAGAGCTGACACCGAAGGACAGCACGTCTTCAAAACAAGGGAAGCGCGCCAATTTTGGAAGGCCGAACTGTGTCGTTCAATGGCGCCCAGTAGTTAGACGCGGAACGAAGCCGCACGCAGACGAACGAGAGGCGTTGAACGAAAGCTGCCCATGGCAGCGGACTTCCAGTTGTCCATTGCGAGCTACACCACAAACATCATGCAACGCAGCGACGCTTGTTGCGAATGCCATTCGGCTCTGGCGAGCGCTGCGTACGACGGGGATTATGATGACGATGGTGATGATGATGACGATGGTACTGATGATGTTGAAGGTGATGATGATGATGACGATGCTGATAATGATGATGATGTTGAAGATGATGATGTTGCTGATGATGATGACGATGACGATGACGATGATGATGATGATGATGATGATGATGATGATGATGATGATGATGATGGTGATGGTGATGGTGATGATGATGATGCTGCTGCTGATGTTGATGTTGATGATGATGATGATGATGATGATGATGATGATGATGATGATGATGATGATGATGATGACAGTGCTGGCAACAAAGCGGATGACGACAACGCTTCCATGGTGATTGAAACCTTTGGTGAACTTGGACATCATACTTACCTGTATCGACGATGATGCATGGGGCAAGTTGCACATGGACAGTGGTGGGCCATGCTGCGGCGCAGAGCTTGGATATACGAATCCAGAGTGACCGACAGGTCCAGTGATGGAGGGCTGCCAGAGCTCCCACTCTGTAGCTCCATTGGTCCCCGTGCCCGGGCAAGGTCGCCGGGTAGGTCTCGCTAAAGTTGGAGTGATGAAGCCGTGAATTTTTTGTGTATTGCAAGTAGTGGTGTATCCGACGGGAGACTTTTAGCGCATGCTTGCAAAGTCGCATAGTGTAAGGGCACGGAGGTCCGTTTCTGCTTTTATTTCTCGGTGAACACGCTTCGTTGTGAGGCATTGCGGTGCCATGCGCCCAGGCCCCGCATACGGCCAGGACGTCTTCGTGCGCGGGCAGCTTCCAGTGCCCGTGCACGCCACACCTCTTGCCGCTCGGGGCATGCCTGGGACGGGGCAGAAGCGGCCCCCGCCCGCATCCTCCTCGCCCCCTTAGCCCCCTGTGATCGCAGATCGACGACTCGTCCCCTGCTCGACCCGCGGGCCCGGCACCTGGCATACGACGGCTCTGCTGCGGCGTGCCGCCACGCCGGCTCGGACCGTCACGCCCTGCACCTCCCGAGGGCGCACCCCTCCGCCGATTAGGGCGCGCGGCCGTGTCCCCACCGCCTGCCCGCCGCCGCACACAGGACAGAGGAGCCCCCGGGGGGCAGAGGCAGGAACTCCCAGGGCAGAGGTTCCCCCTCCTCCTCATGATCTTCCTCCTCATGAAAATCCGCCAGTAGGGGGACATGCCCGACCTCAGCCAAGTCCTAGCTCAACAAGTCAGCGGGCCACCCTGCCGCTGAGTCGGTTCCAAGAGCGCCCGGCTGGACACCCTGCAGCGGAAGGGAAATTTCCCGTTCAATGCAACACTCGACCAACAATCGACAGGTGTGGCACGGCCCGCCTAATTTTGGCAAACGTATGCGCGTGATTCTTGGGCACGTATAAAATCAAATCCGTGTGATTGCCTTGAGTTTGCGAAGCACGGGCACAGTACTTGCAAGCCCCGAAAACGATGCATTCTCGATCGCGCAATCCTAGGGAGCATCATGTGTATATATATATATATACGTTGGTGCCTCCCCCCACACGTTGAATTGTTCATTCCCATGCTCAGCTGGACTAAGGAGTTGGCCGACAACCTCATAGAGGAGCCCCGTGAGCCATCTCGCATCTGCGATGAGGCGAGATGTGCTTTATTTCGTTCCAATACTACCGGCACGGAACATGAGGCAAGGGATATGGCGAACAGCGTTGTGGCCCATCTTATTTGGTGCATGAGACGGCCACCGTCCCTGAGATCCAGCTATGGCTAGCAGCCTGGGCCTGAGGAGAGATCCAGACCGTGGCTCTGAAACCGGTTCGGGCCACGGCAATGCCTACCATATGGGGCGCAGACATGATGCGGCGGGCAGGATGGTGAACGAGTCAAGTCCCGGAGCAGCCCTATTGTTGAGACCGCGTCAGCGGTTACGATACCGGCGGTCCGCCTGATCTCGACCGCAGTGTTTCAGGAGGCAAAAAAACACACAGACACAATTAATCGTCGACTCCCAGGGAAATATGGGAACATATGGGAAGTGGGGGGGAAGACAAACATCCAGAAAATATGGGAAAATATGGTGAATATTTTTATTGGTGTGTATTTATTTGTGTGTCCTGGGGCCCCTTCAGTGTTGGAGAGCAACATGTTATCCGGTTGTTTTCGGAAGTTCTGCCACCGCGCCAGCGCAGCACTCTGGGCGGCAGTTACTCGAGAAGGCCCGGGGGGGCCCGGAGGCCTCCTGGGCCGTCTTAGGGCGTCGGGAGCTCGAAAAAGGCGAGAGCCCTAAAAACATTGAAGACATTGAATACCAATCGAGGGTATCTTGCCGTCTGGGGACCTCTTAGGGCCTCTCGGGGGTCCCCGTTGGGTCTCCTGAGCCCTCTTGGGGCGGAAGGCTCCAATTGTCGATTCGTGCTTACCCTCTCGGGCCCTGATGGGGGGCCGTCTCGGGGCGCTTTTGCGCATTCTTGGGCGCTTCTTGACAATCTCGGAGCCATATTGTGCCCTCTTGGGCCGTCTTGGGGCAGTCCTGGTGGCCTCTTTGGTCGTCTCTGGGGACGTCGGAACCTCGAGAAGGCGAGAACCCGCAACGATTATGGCTTCTCGAGGTCCTCTAGGGAAGGCTCTTAACTCTCTTAGGGCGCCTCACGCCTCAATGTGCACAAGGCACGCTCCGCAACCATTTTGGCTCAGGGCGCCCGAGCCCAACCGTACATATTTGCACGATCGGCGCGGGCCCTCGTACCCCCTCATGGAGTAGATCTTGGCTGTTTTGGGCGCCTGTCTCGAGCAGGCGGAGTGCCCTGTTGCAAACAGTCGCGCTGAAAGCAGAGGGCCAGAGCCAGACCCCCCCCCCTCCCCCCCACCCCTCCCGCCCTATGCCGAAACGCCAGATAAGAAAACGCCGACCGCACGGCTCCATTGGGCCCCGCCGCGAGCCAGTGCCGCAGGAAGACCCAGACATGCGACGTCCTGATCTTTTCAGGACGGCGTCCCCAGAAGTCCCGACCCTTTCCCTGGGGCCGGTTTTTCATCTTGAGTCGTTTTTTGACGGTCCCGAGGCCCGGCGAGGGGACCCAGGGGCCGAAAACGGCAAAAACCTCCCGCGAAGATTTTTTTTTACGACGCAATCATGACTGGGGAACAAGCGCCCGCGCACGCCATGCGACCGCCGAGCCGCGCCCGCGGCTGGCGGGGCCCGCTGTTGGCGGCGGCGGCGGCCATCGTGCGCGGCGCGGCCCTCCGCGTGGGCGGCGCCCCCGCGGCCGCCGCGGCGGCGCCGGGCGCGGCGCCGGCGCCTGCCCTCGACGCCCGCGGCGGCGAGCCGCGCGCGGGCGCGGGCGGCAGTCGGAGGAGGAAAGGCTACCCACCCGGACATGCTCGCGTCGTACAAAAATCAGGACGGCAGGTTTTTGGTTATTTTGGGCCCCTGGGGGCCCTCGCCGGGCCCTGCGACTGTCAAACATTGATTCAGGATGACAAACCTGCCCCGGGGAAACAGGACGGCAGGTTTTTGGTTATTTTCGGCAATTGGGGGGCCCTTGCCGGGCCCTGCGACCGTCACACAACGATGCAGGATGACAAACCGGCCCCGGGGAAAGCGTCGGGACTTCTGGGGACGCCGTCCTGAAACGATCCGGACGGTGCATGTCTGGGTATATCTCTACCCTTCGCCCGATTGCCCCTCTTCGGGCCTCTAGGGAGGCCCTCGTCGACGCCGCTGGAGCCGCCTCGAGGTCCTGGCCGGAGCGCACGCCAGGAGAGGTCCCGGGGGGGGGGGGCAGCGGCAGGGGCACCGTTTTTCAGAGCGTGCATTACCTGCCCCGCTCTCGCTTCCAGGCAAAACCAAGCCATACCACGCGCCTCCTCGTCGATCGGCCTGGCCAGTACAGGCTGCAGGTTGGCATTATTTGGGTATCTCTTGGAAGCGAGGGTGGTCAAGAGCGAGGTAGGCTTGTTTTCCCCCTCCCTGATGGTCCGCTACCGAGAATTTCCGGTAGCGCTCCGCAGAGATCGGTCGCTACCGAAATACCGAAATGCAGCGCCCAATACCGGTATCAGACCGTTCTGAAATCCGCTATTTCAACGCCCTCAAACGAAGATCCGGTCGCTACCGAAATTCGGGGTGCGTCGAAAGCGCTACCGAAAATTTCCGGTACCAGACCATCTGGGCTATGTTTGGCTTCCCCAGGCGGGCGCTGCCCCGGCGTGGCGCGGCGGCACGGGCGGTGCGGCCAGCGGCCCGCCGCGGCGGCCGCGGCCTCGGCTTCGGAGGGCCCGTCTTCGCCGGCGGCATCGCCCGCGGTGCCCGCGGGGGCGGCGCCCGCGCCCTCGGGCGGCGGGTACGTGGACTGCTCGGCGTCCGACGACTTCGTCGAGGCTAGAACGACGCGAAGATCGGGACAAAATCGGATCGGGATAACTCGAAATCTCTGAGAGTCGGCGGGTTTGGAGGATGTATCGGGCGCCGCGGCCGCTCCAGAGCGTTCCGGAACGCTCTGAGAGCCCTCCGGAACGCTCTGGAGCGATGTATCCCGATCCCAGCCCTGTTTTAGAGGCTTACGAGCGGCAGCCCGAGGAGGCGCTGCGAGACTGGAGATGTGGGGACTTGAGCGCGGCTGTTCTCAGAGAGAGGATGACTATTGCTTGCATCGGCGACTCAACGACGCACGGTCTCAACGTTGCCAGGGGCGAAGAGTACCCGTCGGTTCTCCACCGTCTCCTCAGCAAGCAGTTCCCGAAACAGTTCAATGTGATCAACCTTGGCGTTACAAGCTCGTCTGCCAGGCACGATGGTAATCATTCTTATTGGAAGTTTCCACAGTGGTCCATTGCTGCGGAAGCCCGAATTGACATCGCAGTTGTCATGCTCGGCCTTAATGACGCATACCATTTGGGCTGGGCACAGGAAGAGTACGAGAGGGATTATCTCGAGATGGTTCAGGAGATATTGCGTCTGCATTCCAATGCCACCATCATTGTCGCAGTGCCGCCTCAAGGTGCATACGCCTTCCGCAACGACAAGGTCCGTGGAGGAGGAGACTGGGCACTGCGGCTAACTCGGCGGTCGCTCGCTCAAGCAGTTGAGAAGGTGCGAAGTGCAGCCCAACTCGAGACTCCAGCCATCAATTTCTTTGATATTTTCGCACGGGCCGCCAGCTTGAAGCCCAACGCTGTAGTGAAGTATCCGGGCCCGAGCATTACAGCTGATGAGCTGTACCTTAAGGACGGCATCCATCCTTCGGCCCTTGGCTACAGTGAGATGGCTGCGGCAGCTGCTGCTGCCATCTCCAAAGATGCCATGTCTACCCGCAGCTTTCGCCTCAGTTGTGAATCCTCGGCGCATCCAGATCTGTGCAAGGCGTTCTGCAACAATGCAGGCAAGGCCAAAAGCTGACACTTTACGCGATGCACCCTCACTGAAGGCGTTGCCGCGTCGCACGCCCGCGACCCTCCCGCTCCACCTCCTCTCGTCCTTCTCACCACCGATGGCGAAGCACACTATGTGAACCTTGATGACACACACGCAAATAGATGTGTGAATGTTCATACTCACACTGTACATTATATACTTGCCGTTGCTCGATTGGAGCAACCTGGATCCGTGATCAGTTAATGGGCGCGCACATGGCGCGCCCATGGAGCCTGACTGACTTGCCCCCGGGTTGTCAGAAACTGCGCCAAAAAAACGTGCACAAGGCACGGTGGCGGACACTGCCAACTGCCAGCGGTCCAAACACCAGCAACCAAGTGGTGGACATGCCCCCCGGAGAAACTCTCGAGAATATCGCGTCAGACCCGTTATCTAGGAGAACACACACACATACACTACCCGCATTGTCCATGGCACGCGTGGTCAATTCACCTTCGTGTGCAATACGTTGAGAATTCGGATGTGGTCCATGCCTCGCCTCGCAATCCTGGTCAGAACGCAGGACAGAAGGGGGCCATGTCGACGACGGCGTCAGAGACGACGATGGCGACGACAAGAGTGATCTCGACGATGAGGACGACGATGCCAAAGACGACTACGACGACACCGACCTCAACGACGACCGCGAGGAGACGACGAAGGCAACGTCGGCAACGACGACGTGGACGCAAACGGCGGCGACGCCAGTGGCGACGAGTGCGGCGACGGCGACGAGAACGGCCGTGGCGACCACTGCGGCAACGGCAATCGGGACAGCCACGACGCGGGGGAGAGGAGCAACGGCGCCGCTGGCGAGGGGAGGCGGGCGGAGATGCAGGGCGCGGGCGCCCCCGCCCCCCCCCCCCCTCCGCGAGCGCGTCGGCGGCCTCGGCGCTGATCGAGCTGGAGGCGTTGCGCGGCCGAAGCAGATCGCGCGCCGCCTGGCGGCCTGCGCTGCCGACGTGACCCCCTGGAGGCCTCCTCCGCCAAGAGGGCGGGGTCCCGAGGAGGAACAACAAGGCTCCCTTGCCTCTGCCCTTCCCTCGCTCTCTCCCCTTTTTGGGGCCACCTGGGAGGCCCGCGTCGCCGCCGCTCTGAATTCGCTTCGAAATCCTGGTCAGAACGCGCCCCCGGCTTTGTGGGCCCCGGAAACGGCAGGGCAGTTTGTTTCACCGTTTCCCCAAACATGTCCCTTGAAGCTCATAACTACGTTCTGGTAATTATGTTGAAGTTGTGGAAGTTTGGTTGAAGTTGTGGAAGATAGCTGTTCATCTGTTTGTTGCTTGTTTTTTGTTTGAAAATTTAATTCCCCCTATCTTGAACCACTCCATCCCCTAACTCCCCCCTGCCTCCGACCACTCGATGTCCTGTAATTCTGCAATTTGAAAAAAACGCGTTGCGAATACAGACTTATTTGTTTGGTCAGCCACGTTGTTCTATGCTGTTGCGTTATGTCTGCCCCCATAGCGTTCTGTGCTGTTGTTTTTGCCCAGCCCTTTGCGATACCAGCGCTTGCGCTCCAGCTCACTTCAATCCAGCGCGTTGCGCTGCAGTTTGCTTCAAACGTACCAAGCTCATTGCGCTCCAGTTTGAATTCAATCATGCGCTTCGCGCCCCCTTCGTCTCCTCCTCCTTCTCATCCTTCTCCTCCTTCGCCTTCTCCTCCTTCCAACGTGCCAAACTCCTCCTCCTCCTCCATCTCCTCCTCCTCGTCCTCCTCCTTCTCCTCCTCATCCTGCTTTTCCTCCTTCTCCTGGAGCCTGGAGCGTGAAGGTCTGTATTTCCTCCAGGATGATGGCGAGGAGAAGGAGGAGGAGGAGGAGGAGGAGGA